TTTAAAAAATACTTTTCAAACAAATCTTTTTCTAACTCAAATGCACTTCTTTGGTATGATTGTATGATAGTATACCAAACCTAGAGTGAAGCTCCTAAGTCTTGATGAATCCTACAGAGTGAACATGCCCATCCATGCAGCTACTATCCAAGATTCAGAAAATAAGCAGCACCTCCGATACCTTCCCTGTTGTCTCCTCGACATTACCTCAAATTAGTTAGCCACTAGGTTAACTTCTACCACCTGGGCTTAGTTTTGCCTGTGTAAATGGGACCATTGATTCTGAGTACTTCTGTGTCTAAGCTTTTTGATTCCACATGCTGTCTGTGAGATTCACTCATCTATATATATATAATATGTTTGTGCTTTTCCACTGTTGTAAAGTAGTCAGTTATATGGACATGTTGTTGTTAGGTGCCATGGAATTGGTTCCGACTCGCAGTGATCCTTACATACCGTGGAACAAAACACCACCCGGCCCTGTGCTGTCCTCACAGTGGTTTCGTTTGTGCCCATCATTGCAGTTACTGTGTCAATCCGCCATCACAGGTCTTCCTCTCTCTCACTGCCGCTGTACTTCACCCAGCACCGTGCCCTCTTCCAGGGCCTGGTCTCTCCTGGTAACATATCCAAAGTCTGAAAAATTAAGTCATGAAAAGTACACTTAAAAACGAAGTCATGTTTTTTGTCTTTTGGCGAAGTAATGTTTTAAAAAGACAAAGATTAACACCCATCAAGCTTCTCTTTTTAGATGTTTTATTGTGGACCACGTGATCCACAATAATGTGGATCATTAGTTTGCTATGCAGCTCATTACTTTTACAGCCAACAATTCCTACACAGTTTGTTCCATCTCATTCAGTGCAATCCCTACAGTGTACCATTTCCTGCCCCACTTGCCTTCCTGAGTTTCCTGTTTCCATCCCTCTCTGGAACATTGGCCTTGGACAAATGTGGCCCTTCTGATCTCGAATGATTGAGAAATCTTACGGAGCAGTTCCCCTCTGTTCTATAGGGTTGCTGTAAGTCAGAATTGACTGCACTGCCCATGGGTGGGTAAAAGTACTTATGATATCGGTCGAAATAGATTGTAGGTATTCAAGTGTTTGGAAACTATCAGAAGTGGTTGTTAATCATAATCATAAAAGTAATCGTGGTAAATTTAAATTCAAAGTATAAGAAATCCGTAGTACTCATTTATGCGTTCACCACCTGTGTGTAGCAGAGGGCTAGACAGACATACAGACAGGAATGCCGCGGGCAACCGCACTGACATCAAACTCTCCTGTTTGATCCATACTTTTCTTGGTTTCAATTCCACGCTGGGTTTTACGTTGGCTGCTACTGGTCGGGTCAGCAGTTTGAACCCACTAGCCGCTCAGGGAGAGAAAGACGAGGCTTTGGGCTCCCTGAAGACTTAACAGCCTAGGAATCCCACCGGGGCAGTGGGACTCAGTCCTCTAGGGGCACTCTGGGTCCGAACGTGAGCTTGTGGGCTCATGCTGCTGACTAGCTAGGTATGTGGTTTTCTGGCAGTTTCCTGAGCCTTTCTGACGCTTAGGTTCCCTATCTAGGAACAAGAACACCCCTCCTGCGCCGTTGGTGTTAGGAAGGCGGGTAAGCCCTTTGCTTTGGTCC